TTTGCGTGTACATCCTCGCGCGTGGCGGAGAAAGCAACGTGGTAGGGCCAACTAGTGGCGAATTAATTGCCAACCACGGAAAACCACGAGTCTGGCGATGAGCAAAAGCGGTAGATACACCTGCGAGTTACAAGCGCTGGTTAAAAGTGCGAAACACCAATAGGAAACCAGGATTTCGATCGCTCGACGTCGAACTTTCGAAATCTTGGTTTCCTATTGGTGTTTCATTTTCAACAAGCGCTTGTACCTCGCAGGTGCATCTAGGCCTATAGTCATGAAATCGCCAGCTTGTCAATGACCGATCAGGGATAAGGCATTCTGAGATTCCGCACCATTTAGAGTACCTATACAGGTGCTCCAGGTTTAAACGGCCGCACTGCAGGAACCTTGGATCACCCTGTATACGTGAGAGTATTGTCGTCCCTGTGCCGCTCTGTGATTGGTTCATGAGTTTTAGACTTTTCATGGGGCACTTGTAGTGTGGCCAAATGTGGCAACCCACCATGTGGCATTCGTAAATCACTTTCAGAGTTTTAGGAGCCTTCTTTTGGAAGATCCTCTCAGGAAAAGATATTGATAACTTTGGTTGACAGAATATCACTATGGGAATTTAACAGACTACTTTGCCGAGGATAGCTTTGCTTAAATTGATGTTATTCGTTAGACAGATTACTTACATGACTGCAACGCAATCTGTGCGGATGAGTGTTGTTTTGACACGTTCCGGGCCATTAAAATGTCGCGCTTTACTGTAATAGTGGATTATTGATGGAAAAAATACGTGAAATTTGTACGTAATGTCATAGATACATAGGTTTAACTTCAACGTTGCGATACTAATCTGCATTTTAATCGACAATGGAAGGTGAAAAAAGAAATTGTTAGCTTTGAAATGTATTTTTTCAAGCTTTATTACAGCGTGACTTGCAGAATTTTACGGCTTACTATACGTGGCAAAAAGAGATTTAATAAGTTTATTTCCCATACCGCTCATTACCGACTTACAAAAACTTGACTTTTTATGTATTGCGTGTAGGCGATACTGCAAGCAGCGAGCAAAAGCAAAAACTCAATTTGTTCATTTAATCTTGTTTCGAGAAATATTCTCGTGGTGGAAATTACATGAAATTTAACAAAAGGACAGTTCGACGTATTTCTACCAAGCGGAATTATGTGCATTAAGACGTGAGCCCTGATACCTATAAGAATATATGCTTCACAGGGCTCACGTCATAATACACATAGTTCCGTTTGGCAGAAATACGTCCAATTGGGACCACGAAAAATCACACTAGGTTTTTGCGAATGTTACAGAATTGCGTCATCATTATAAAAGCTAAAAGTCCAGCGAAAATGGACGCAGATTTGTTCAAATCCTGAGTCTCTAGGCGTTCAAACATTAAGAGCGGTATCGCCTCTTGAAAAACATGAAAAATGTCATCTAGAATTTTTCAAAGAGCGCACCTTCGTTATTACTAAAAAGGTCAATGTACCAATTTTAATAATAAGATTCTACTCTCACAGTATGATTCTATGACCATTTGTAATTATGTCAATAATTTGATTCATCAAGCAGCGATTTTATTTCGTGATTCGTCAACTGTTGAGTTTTCTTGCGAGTTGTATGAAGAGAGGCCATGCGGGCGATATGCGGCTCCGGTCGGTCATTGCGACGTGCGACGGGTGCCCCTCAAAACATCGCACACGCCACGAAGGTCGGAACCTCGAAATTCTCAAATCATATCATGGAATCCAGCACAGAGAAAAAATAAATGCGAAGACTATGCGGCAAAGTTCTCGCCGATCATATTCGAATATTTTTTTCGAGACCATCGCGTTTTAGTGGAAAAGTATAGAGAGCTTATGAGTTAATAATCTCAACGATATGAAACGGTCAGTGAGAAAAATCTACGGTGGGCTGCAAAAAAGTGTGTCAATTTCATGCTTCTTAAGATAATTCATGACACCGAGGCATTTTGATTTTAGGGTTTCCACTAGTTCTAAAATGTAGTTTTAACGTATTGAAAATCGGTATTTATTCACTTGTATACTTTAAATACATTGTAAACTCATTTAGTGCTGTGAATTAGAAAACTGCGGGAACTTCAAGCAGAGGTACTTAGCAATTGCGCGAAATCATTCATAATAGAGCGTTAAGAGGACATTTTTGGAATGCTACTAGATCACACAATATATCGCCTGCTCCGAACGCCACTGCGAGGGCCAGAAAGCGAAAACGCCTTCAATTTTGTCGATATGCAACATAGACTTCCGCGGAGTTCGAATAGTTGTATTCAGGCGCTATCATCAACAGCATGTCGATGTAACCCGACGAGCGCATGATTGGATGCTTCGGACTAGCTCAATGTTCATTTACATCTAGCCATTTACATGCCATTTATTAAAAGTAGTAGGTAGAAAAATGCCTACAATTTACCTAGAAGTTTATATATTCCCCTTATTTATCCAAATTGGCCTGTTCTCATCTGCCTTAAACAATAAGAACGCCACGAACTACTAAAATGGCAGGCAAATAGTAGTAGTACTCGATTTGGCAATGTTGTTTCTTAAGGGTATAGCCCTGTAAGCGCGTCGAAATTACCTACTTAATAAGTTGTTCTATTTTGCTTGCGTCTGCCAGGAAAATCCCACCGGAGGTTAATCAGACGTCTGCTTTTAATTTCATTGTTCCGGTTTTTTTTCTCAGTAAGTGATAATCAAACTATACAGTCCTTCCTTCGCTCGATCACGCAAAATCGTGTTCTGGCAACAAGGGAAGCGTCATAAAATTTCAACTGTAACACGTTGAGGTAGTATAAAAATACGAATTCACGCAATGCTCTCCTTCAAGGTTCTTTTTTATTTTTTCTAATGAATCGATTTTCCCACCGTTTTTCAACGAGTGATGGGGAACTTTCCTTGAGGAATTCCGAAGTGGCAATAAAATCACGGATAACAATCGTTTCCAGTGTGCGCAGACGCATCAAATTGTTACAAAAAAGTGGATTTTACAAGCGCGCAAAGTGAGCTTTTTGACGATATCCGGCAAGAGATAACTCGCCACGAGCTATATTATTTGTATGAAAATTTAATTTCGAGACGTCTCGCTGAATTTAATGTACATTCACCGTCATCGCGTGTGATTTATTAGGGGTAAAAAATTGTAAAAAATTACTTAAAGAACAAGTTTTAGATAGAATGCATTCAGTGGGAAAGAACAGGTATTTTTTTTAAAGTTTTAGTTTCGATTTTAGTTTTCTGGAATAAGCATTTTGCTAGTCGAGTAGTTTGCCCAGTTCAAGAAATGGAAAAGAGCAGAGAGGAATTTGGTGATTATGTTATTTCCAGAAGATTTTTACATCGTGCTTTGAATATTGAGTGAAAGAAAGTTTGCTAACATTCGAGTTTGAATTATATTTTTCAAACTTTGCACATCGTGAACTAATCTTGGTTGGAGTTAATTATCCGAACCTCACTTATCAGCAAAGAAGGGTGCTAAATCAAAATTGAGATATGTGAATGATATAAGAAGTAAAACGCCGACTTGGTAGAATTAAATCACTGCTGAAATTACTACACGTTAGTGAGGTATGAAAATCAATTTCAAAAATTGAAAATAGTCTTGAAACAATATTCAAACTGACGGAAATTAATTATTTTTTTCCCTTCTTTTTTTAAGGCTTTTTGCAATGTTTTAACTTTTTGGTGTCCACGTTTCCTCATATCAATGTGTTTTTGCTGATTTTGATAATGTGTGAGGTATGGAATTTTATGCTATTAAAATTTGATTAATTGACCTTCAGGTTTAGGTTTCATTATAAAAATTTATAGTTTATTTTAATTTGATGAAAGCTGCGCGCACGAGTGTATAAAAGTGCAGGATGGCAGATGAAGAGATTCATCTAATCAATTCTGCTTGGTTCTTACTTACACGAGTCGATTTATTCATGTGAAGCAGTTACCACGAATGGATTTTGGAAATTTTTGCAGTGGCTGTTACAGCGATATAAATAGACCTTCAGAATCAGAGAACCCCCCTTTGATGGAAATTAATCAGTGGCATTCTTTAGACTCAAAAAGTAAAATAAGAATGATATTAAATCAAATCTGTCTTTATTCGCGCAGGAATTCTTCAGAAGTGTCACCGATTTTTCACCTCGTTTTAAAGTCTCGACGTGCAGTTTTTTTAAACAGATGACAGATCTTCTGTAGAAATTCGGATTCGTGCGGTGCAATACTGTTCAGAGAATATTTTAATTCAATCTACAGACCCATATTTAATCTTGATGAATTTGAGCAATAGTTTAAGCAGACGGGACAGAAAAAAGTACCGAATTCTGCTGAGCAGCCCAGCGTCGGGGAAATTCTAGTGGCTCGAGATTCATGAGACTGTGATTCCGTGATGCATTAAAATGTCTACAATGAAATTTGAATAATGATTTATCTACGGGAGTTCTCTTCAGAATTTTCATTTTTCATATTTTCATTTTAAAAAAAGGCAATAGAGCTAGTCAGTAATATTAAAAATGAAATTTTCCACCACCACAATGACCATGATTCCTCCATCGTCCAATATCGCATGATCACTCTATCGTAAGGTTTTTGAGCTACTTATTGGTGGTAATGTTTCATCTGCGACGGTTTTAAAAATCGTAGATAAATTAGTGGGAAGAAGAGCAGGCTGCGGGCTGATTATTGGAATTGATGGATTAAGGAGGTTAGTAGATTATGGAATGATCCTATTGGTGAAAACGGGTGGTTGCAATGGACATAGGAGGTGCGTATTTAAGTTAGACAAACTAACAGCAACCCGCCAAACACCTACAGTTAGTCCATCATTTTCCCCTTTAGTTTATAGAAACCAACCGTTTCAACCAATAAGATTGCACCATGTCCCCGTGCCTTCTTTATCTATCAATTTCAATAATCAGCCGGCTGGTTTGGCCTGTATTCAGAGACACGAAAAAAGCGAAAAAAGAAAAGTAAGAGATGCAACTCACCGCTCTAACTTGAGTCGCCTCGTTGACATTAGTCTCGAAATCCCATTGAGCGATGACGTTGTTGGTGCACTGCTGCGAGGCGGCCAGGTCGATTTGGTGCAAGAACCGCCTGAGGTCCGTGTCCGGCAGATACGTCTTGCCGCGCGGGGCGCCGAGCCGTTGTCCGTCGAAGCCGGAATTCAGGAAGCGCGACTGCTGGCCTCCGCGAACGAGGGGGTCCCTGCCGAAGTTACGCTGGCGGTCGGCGAGCTCGTCCCTGGTGAAGGGCCGCTGGTCCCTGTTGAAGGGCCGCTGGTTGTCGTCCACGTTGTAGCGGTCGGCATCGCTGACTCGCTGGTCCTGCTGTCCCCGCGTCCGGAGGTACGGCTCCCGGACGTCGTAGCGCGGGGTCGGGTTGTCCGAGGTCTCGAAGCGCTGGGAGCTCTGCTGCCGACGCCCGAACTGGGCCTCGTCGCTCCGGTACCGCGTGGAGTCGACCCCTTGGTTCTGCTGGAACCTGGTCAGGAGGTCCCTGCTCAGGTTCGGATCCTGGGCGCTGTCCGGGTTCTGCTGCAGGAAGTCCCGGAGACGGGTTTGGATGCGCTCGTTCTCCTGTTGGGAGTGGATGAACTTGTTCGGGTCCAGGTAGGTACTGTCTTGCTGCCCGCGGACGACCAGCGCCCACAACAACACTATCACACCGTGCAGGTACATTTTGTTCGTGCCCGGCACACACAACACTTCTTGTCGCACTTCGGATTATACGCGGGGCATTGGACTAACACTTATCCTGACGGGACGGTAGTGAGGGGCTGAAAACAGAATGGAATACTTTTTTATATTTTAATTGCTTCGTAAGGAGGAAGATCGGAACGCTTCATCGATTTCAAGCCAACATGCTGAGGACGTATTTTCACAGTTATCTGCAGGGTTTACTTAGCTCAGCAAAAATCATGGCACCCGCAGTTCTGTCGTGCGAAGGAAAAACGCCGTATGTACATTCGAGAATTGCCAAATTTCCCTGGATAAAACGTGCTTTTTAAGGAAAGTAATGCATATTTTTCTTTGAAATTTGTAGATATTTAAAATAAAATTGCGCATAAAATATAGGCTGAAAATTTTGAAGAAAATATTCCAAATATTCCCAGTGAATTTGGTTTTTGGTAAAGGACATCTGGCAACGTCTGAAAGCTCATTCGGCGTTCTCTCCTTAGCACGGCAGTATTAAGATATATACTGAAGCAGACAATAGCTCTGGAGAACAAACAAATTATTGCTTTATTTCCAGCATTTTACACATGTTTCAACGTTAAATGTCCAGTGCAATTTTTAAACAAAGGGTGTATTTAATTATTTCTACACTGTAAAAAAAACACATTGGATCTAGAGTCCAGACTCTTAAAAACATCGTCAAGAAAAAATACTCTTGATTCAATCGGATTTTTGCATAAATCAAGAACCAAGCCTCTTAATTTGAGCGGATTTCCTTTTGATTTAAGCTTAAATCTGATTGAATCAAGAGTATGTTTTCTTGTCAATGTTTTCAAGAGTCTGGACTCTAGATCCGATGTGCTTTTTTTTTTTCCCCAGTGTAACGGGCATCGCAAAACCTGAATACCAGAATCAGCACTCCACTTAACATAGAAATACCGAAAGAGTTGTTGGCTTGAAATTAATGATGTACATTTTTGTTTAAAAGAAAAAAAATGCAACGAGCATAGTGCTTAAAAGTTGAGAGCGTATAATTAGCAGGTAAAACCGCGTGACTTGAACGCACGGTATATAAAGTGCCGAACATTCAGAGAGTCGTTATTTATGTAGAAAAATACACTTGTAAAATACATTTTAAGTTCTTCTTCATTTTAAAACTAGAGATTTCAAAAGGGCTTATTAATCTCTCTTCCAGTCTGCTCATTGGCTACATACGTAATCAATGAGCCCCTTTAAGGCCCTCAGTTTGGACTTGGAGGAAAACCAATTATTGCTCGTCGTTACCAGAATTTATAATTTTGGAAAAAGACCCAAGTAGGTAAGTGGAAATCAGCGTACTCCATTTTAATCACTTCAAATTTTTCGTTTGCTGAAAACTCAAAGTTGCGAGTACATTACGTAGACTTAGGTAGTGAAATTGATTGCCAAACTGATTTCGGTGTTCTTAAAATAAAAGTGCTTTCTCTGCACAGAGATAGTTCTTCTTGATGAGTGGCAAAAAGGCAGAGGCAAGAAATGTTAAGACTTCAATTGATTTGAACCAAATTTTGCGATAAAAAATACGTTATTAAATACGTAAAAAATCCGTTATTTGTGGCATATAATAGAAACATAGAATAGATGGGCCATGAAATAGTGTTTCCTTAATGCAAAATTTTACCTGATTGATAATTGTTGGTATAATCTTTCAATTATTACCTATTTATTCTACATCAAATAGTTAGCATTTAACTCTTAGTTATGAGTTTTTCTCCGTAATTAGTAATGAAGTCATGGTGTTCCGCGTGAAAATTTTAGGAGAAAACACGACTTGAGGTGCTTTAATTCTGTTCTTGTCAAGTTCTCAATATGAGTAGGAAAATTGGCAAAACTACTCTATTAATAAACCACCAATCATTGAAATTTGAAAATTCTAAATTTACGTAACTGCACGGACCTAATTTTGACATAATTACTTCTTTCAGTATGCAATAACGGTTTATGGAGACTAGTTTAATGCCATACTAAGGAAAAGCGCCGTATGAGCCATCAAACGTTGTCGTCCCTTTGATAAATTACGAATTTTTAGAGAAGTTTGCAAATATTTTTCCTCCAATTTTCAGAAAATTTTTTTGGCAGCCGGATCTTTTATAAATGTTCCAGAAAATAAACATTTTATTGGAGGAATTTTGGCAACTTTCCGATGTTCATACGGCCTTTTTCTACAGCAAGGCAGCTTAGATGTTGCACTACGGACTGGCTAGGCATTCATTAACCGAAACTTACGACTAAAATGTCAAAAAATGGATTAATGATCTTAAGAGACAAAATGAAATGACGGGGAAAACTTTGAGAATTAAACTGTAAACAAAAACTTAGGAGGAAAATACTCTTTACAATCCTATTGAGACAAATTACCAGAAAATAGATTCCTCGCAGTCCCTAAGCTGCTCCCCAAACTTTTCCTACGGAGTAGCTAAAAAAATAAAGTTCTAGGAATAGAATTCCTGACCTATAAATTAGCTTTTGAACGTGCTATGAATTTATACGTCCGAGAAACCGCTCGCAGCGCTGACAAAAAATAAGCAAACATGTCCATTTAATTTACCTCGGCCGAGGCACGACTCGACGCTGGCGAGGAACCGAGTAATGAGAAGTTAAATAATTGTGGGAAAATTCTAGACATCCCGAGATTATTGATAAAGTCAATTCTTTTTATTTTCACTGTTTTCTGCGTTCTCATGAGGATTCGACATTGCCAAATGGCAAGGACCTCCCGCTCGAAGTTCCATTAACCTCTGGAATGAAATACTTCAGATTTTCGGGTTTTTCGACAACCCTGCGGTGTGCGTTGTTAACCTGCATACGTTGAATGTCCTACTTTAAACGCTTTGACATTAGTGAGGCCCCTGAGATTTTTGATTGAGGACACTTAACCTTAAGGTTCCGTTGGCGTGGAGAGAAAAGTTGATGGAAAACATCGGGAAAATTTCCTGTCATGACAAATTTCAGGATGGCCTTTTCCTGTTAACTTTCTTGACTTTTCGTTCCCCGAGCTTTTTCATCAGTTGGTCTCTTTACACCTTCAGACATTAGAAAGAAATCTGGGGGTATGCTACGTGGTCTGTAATTTTTCCTAGGAGGCTTTTTGGTTATAAAAGTTGGTGAAGGTTTTGTCATTTACAGTATAGTTTCTGACTTGTTTAAGTTTCCTAAAATCAATGACATCTTTTAGACATCTTTAGACATTTTAAATTAACGCTGGATGGTGTCGAATCAGTGCGTAAAACCAGTCTCTATCTTCTAGCATTATGAAAGAAGGTTCAAAAATAATCGATACAAATTCTACAGTAGCCTTGAATTCAATAAAAATTTACAATACGTATTTTCTTAAATATCTTAGCTTAAAAAAATAATACTGCTAGACTTTATTACCATTTTGAATACAATAGGGATTGTGAAATTCATTTGTGTCCGATCACTTTGACGTATCGTCTAAATCCCTTTGGCTTGGATTCATTCGTTCAGATCGGAGCCAATTTTTTTTCTTCTTTTTCTTTTTTATTATGCGCACAAAACATGCAGCACCGAGTTCAAATACTTCAAAATTTGGTTGTAAATACGTTCATATCACATTTTACGTTTTCCTCCTAATCCTTTCTTTAAAGAGGCAAATGTCTTATTTTTTATTATTGTCTCTCACTGAGAGCAATTTGTTAGAAAAACATATGAAGTCATTACACACTGTATTACAGGCGTATTAAGCTTGTTTAAACGGATAGTTTTGCACAGGATTATCCTTTTTAAATCCTTCCTCTAATTGCGGGCTCACGCTGCGAAAGTGGAGGAGAAAACCACCTGAGAGCACGCTCAAACGAAATTCTTCTTTCTGCCCCCGCCTGGTAATATCATGTAAATGAATACATACAATATTGGCAAATGAATGCCTAACGTATTCCGAGGCAAAAATTGCAATATTCGCAGACAAAAGACACGTGTATTTTCAAACATAAATGAACGAACTCTCGCCATTCACTTCGAAAAAAAGATACTGGAGAACTCTATTTTGGATGGTAACCAAGAGGTCACTCACTTTGGGACAAAATATTTTCAAGAGCGTGTACGCATAATGTTTAAAAAGAGACAAAAATTACTTTCATGAACTCAACATTTTATGGGTAGTAAAAATAATTTTCTCCAACTAAAGGTTGTAAAGATTATCTTGACCACTTTACTGAGTCTTGCAAACTATTTATTGCTCGCACACACAGTTTCATTCTCTAAACACAGTACAGTACACTATACAGGTAAGGGAAGCACGAGGGCTGGAAACTCATCTCCAAAATTTTTCTCTAACGAGGGTCTACACAGCAATTTTAAGTCTAATAAGACTTTGAATCCTCATGAACGTTTTTAATCATGCATGGAACCTTTTTCCGGTGAAAATATTCTAGCCACAAGCGCTCTTTTACACAGATTACTCAACACGCGTGGTGAAGATCTGTGTTGACCCTTGAAAGAAATTTGTACACTTTTTAGTGCCCACCCTTGAAGATATTTTGTCCTCGGTGATTGCTCAACAAAGTGCTATTTTCTCGAAGAGCAAAGAAAATGCCATCACAAGAAACATCGCTCTTGTCACGAGAGCAGCTTTTAAACCACAAGTTGGTTTCAACACATTAAAGGAACTTTCAGTGTCACACTGACATTTTTTTTGTCACATCAACAATTTACAAGCGCAAATAAGTCGCTTCTAACGTAAGAAAACCGGCCAAAAAATGCCGGGTAGACGGTTTCCTTGCGTTACAAAAATGATCCCGGTATGCGAAATATACACACGTGTTTGAAAAATAAAGCGCAAACGCTTTGGGTGAAGAAAATATACAAACAAAAATCCTACCAACGGAATGAAAAGTCCGAGGGTGAAAAACCACGAATAAGAGAGCGAATTAACGGTAGCACTGAACAATGCGTCACTGATAGAACTCGTTAACGCGGCGAATTAAACAAAACAAACGAACGCGAGCATAGACGAACGCGACGGGCGGTAGTGCCGCGAGGTAACGAAACTAATAGTTAGGAACGTACGAGCCGTAGTGCTAGCGTCCCGGCGAGTATTTAAATCGCGCTATTACCAGCCAGCGTATGAGTGTGCCGCGGATTAGCGCCTCCACCCCCGCCCCCTCCCTCAGTCACGTGAAAAACATTGGCTCAATGGCACAGCAAGCGCGGGGGGAAGGGAAGGCGTTGCGGATTGGAGCGCCTGATAGTACCCCCCCCCCTCCGTTCTTGGGAGTTCCAATAGGACCGTGAGTGACACTATCGTGTTACACTGAAAAAAGAAGTTTGCGGTTACGCTTGCTGAAATTCGGTTGGTGTGGGACGAGGTATCTTTCGGTTCGCAGGACAGAATATTCGGTCTGCTGAACCGAGGTTCAGGAGGGGCTTAAAGCATCTAAGAGAAAGGGCTCTAAGACGCGTAAGTGCAGTTTTTGAAAAAAAAATGAGATATTAACGATTCAACTCGAGTTTTTCTCAAAATATATTATGTGAACCTTCAATGCTAAATACAGATTTTTAAGTATAAAAAAGTGAGTTTGAACTTTCTTTCCATCACAAGACTCCATGTAACTTTGAAACTGTAAACACGTGTTTCTCGAAATAGCAAAAACTGCACTTATTCGCCTTGCCCTCCAAGTCCCACAATTTGTGAAATTATGATTCCATTTGTCCAACTATTTTCTGCGTAGAATGCTCAAAAATCATTACCTCTGTTAAAATGCATATCTTTCATCTCCCAGTCAATCATTCCGGTGGCTCGATTTTGGTATTTTGGAGGACGCCTTTTTCCAGAGAAAACTGAATTTTTAAAATAAATTTACACAGAAACTTCATGAACTGATTCCAGTTTTAGATTTTGGTACATTTCGGTAAACGTTTGTAGAGGGAAAATATATTTTCAAAATTGGACATATTTTTCTTGAAAGAAACTCTGCACCAATAGATTGAATAAAAAAATGAACTACGTATTGTACGTACAGGATTTGCATTATTTACAGATCCTTTTGATTTTATTCACCTGTGCATTGGTTTTTTTTCACATTAAATAATCCAACTGTCTCAAAATCGTATGAGTTAAATCATGAAAAAGAAACAACAGCAAGTGTGTTCTTCATTTGGAATGTTTGAAATTCTGGAGTCCTACAGTTTCCACGATGGAACTCTTGGCGATGCGATAGCGACCTATCCCAACCTGTTCGCCGAAATCTTTCAGGAGGAAGAATGTGAGGAGCTCCATGACTTGTTTGCAAAGTCTGACTTCTCTAGAACTTTACAGCATAGAAAATTGCTCCAGTTTTGACGTCAATTCATCACTGAACCGGTTTATTTTTAACACCCAGCTTTTGAGGCGAGTCAATGGAGGGGGGAGGAGTATAACTGCTCGGTTTTGCGGTTAGCAGAAATGACGTTTCACTAAGCAAAATAGTAGTCAATGTGAGCCTCAAAAAATACTTCTTAAGCAACAACGTCACTCATTTTGAAAACATCAATAAGTGATTTTCATATGATCCGACAAGCTCTAAATATAATCATGCGTTTGCCCGAGTTGGCTAACCCCATGAAAAATTGAAACAATGCCTAGGGATTGATTTCAAGTTGTAAACAACTTCATACATGATAGGAATATGTTTTTATGGAGTATCAACATAACATTTGTGCGATGAGTCAAGATTTGGGGGCGGTGCTTTACGCGTGGAAGCCGATCAGTGAATCAGTGATTGACGTCGTGCGAAACGTGATTCAACATAGGTGAGAGATTATAGATAGAGTTTTCATATCCTAGTCCACGGTTCAATTTTATGGGTAACACATATACCGCATTACAGTCTATTAATGAACTTTCCGTTTTATAGAATCGTGTTTCGATGGTCGATAAATTACATTTACCAGTTGACGAGAATATTAACATTAGTTCCAAATTCCACTTGCCAAATTCCAATGAATTCATCATTTGCACCGATTGCTTGCTGAGCCCTTTTTTCTAATTCACCAGAGACAAATATGTAAGCCCATATTTTTGGAACGCACGACTATGACCTGTTTTGATAAATGCCTCTCTGCCATTTTTCAACAAACTCTGTGCATGCTCTCACTCTTTCTTGGTACATGACAACAAGCGAACAACTTGTTTATTTTCATTTTAGATTTAAAAATAGTTTCTGTCCTATAATGTGACCGGGCTATTAATATTATGTATGAATTGAAGTTAAAAATACTTTCATTTTGATTGATATATAACTTTATTTATATTTCCATACATGTTCCTATTCTTGCAGACGAGACTATCGCAAAGGTTTGAAATCATCAAATTAATGGCTATAAATATCGAGAAGTGACTAGACCTTGAACTTCACCGGCAGTTATCGCAGGACAAAAGTCGAGCAGGGTGGCAAGAAAAAGCTAAGAAGCACAAAATTACATAAATTCCATCATCATCAAAAAAAATAAATAAATCAACAAGAATATAAGAATCATCCTAGTCTCACATCTTTTTAAATTCCTGTCTTCTTTGACAGATATGAGTATGATTTAACGCAATACGAGAGCTTCATATCCGCAGAAAAAGACAAGGACTTTGCAAAAAGGGCATGAATGAAAGGCAATGGCAAGAGCTGTAAAATTCATTGACTTCCGTAATTTTTTTTCTCCTTTTAATGCTTCTATAAGAGATGATTCGCACAAAAATGACCCAGATGTACTCGCCAAGTATTTAAGACAATGCTATTAGAGGACGCTATTGCTTTGCGTCATTCTTAGTTTTTTTCTTACCATGCGTTTGAGTCTCCGAGTTATCACTAATTGGAAGGCTTTTTCTAGCGTTTTGTTATTATTGAGCAACTCCTACAAACTTGCATCTATACCAGCATAGGATTCGATCGAAGCCATGAATGCTCCAATCGGAAATATATCGATGCTTAACCGGGCATATAATGAAGTCCTATTATCGTGACAGTTACCATAGAGAAAAGCAGGTAACTTTAACACCTTTGCAGTTAGGCGGGAATATGATGATATCAATGCGTTCGAATAAATATTACAATGTACACCAGAGGGAATCCCTGTAGGAGTAGGTTTGTGAGGGGGGCGGGGAGGGATAGGAAAGAATTAGGGTAGTTAGGTTAGTTGACATTAAATCAAAATCTCTTATCATATAGCGCTAACGCTGACACGATGCGCTGAAAAAGTGTGATTCCTGTTCCACATCTTGGAAAACCCAGGAATACCAGGAATTGGAAGAAGAAATTCATTTAAAAATGTTTTTCCTTCAAAAATGTCGCTGTTGTTTCAGTCTGGATTTCAAGAGGAGAGTTACACTCATAATTTGGATACTGGACTTCAAGTGAATAAAAAAATATATTTGAAACACCTCGGCGTCTGACAGACTTTGAATGTTATTTTTTCATTTGGATTTACATTCAGCGCACCGAGCCGACAATATTGATTAATCATGACTTTTAATTGTCTTTACATATGCATTTGTCTCCCAAAATTGTGCTTAATGCAGAACCACTTTTCATTGAAACTTGCGCCGGCTAAAAGACGTTGTCAGAAAGAACCGAACCGCATTTCCGTAAAACTTCCTGTTGACCGCGTCATAAGTGTTCGCATGCTCCTCTTTGAGGCCGCTTCCTTATCCTCTTCTCGTGGCGCAGAAAAGTTCAGTTTCTGAGACATAGCCTTTATCACTCACCTGTCAATGCTGATAAAATTGGCAATAAAAGTTCAGGCGAGTCTTAAAACAAATGTTAACACTTTATTTGATGTAATAGACGTAATAAAGTTGGACTAAGCATGGTGACCAAATGTTGTTTCTATCCTCTTTTTCGCTTGATTTTTTGTGAAGTTTTTTCTCTCTCTATCTTGCTTTCTGTCTTTTTACCTTGTTTTATCATCCTTATTTCTTCACGCTCGGTTTTTGATCGCAAACAGAACCATTTTTTGGACTTACATTACCTGACGAATTCGATGTCCCACTTTTACATGCTTAAAGCACCTAATTTAAGTCTTATTGTCCTGAGTCTATCATCTCATTGTGGTATATTTCAAGCCATTTTTTTTTTAAAAAATCATTACGGTTAAAGTTATATTATAACACGGAATTGGACTCTCATAGCTATCATTTTGCTTTGATGAAAAAAATAATGTCCGAATATGTTACTGTTATTTTTCTTGTCTTTTCAAAAACTACGAAATAAGTGTTTTTATAAAGAAGAAAAATAAGAAAAAATACTGTCGAGCAGTTCATGAGCAATATTTGAGAGGAGCAGCTAATTGCGAATAAATAATGCAACCATTTCAATGGCTTCTTTTATTTGTAATGTATCAATTTGTAGAGAAAATCTACTGCTTCAGAAATATGTAGATGGTTCTCCCGCTAATTATTATTCATCTCTTAATTGTTTTGTCCAACTTGAAAAAACCGATTTGTTCTTGGTAAGCGATACTGAGCACTTACACACAAAATATTTTAAATTCCACATTATCTTTCTTGTAACCTTCAGCACTCTCTCTTTTAGATTTCCTCCAGTCTAGCGAGGAGGCTCCAGATCACTGACGCACTCACTGGTTGTATCTGATCAATGGTGTAGAAACAAAAAACCGTATATTACTTTTAAATTTTACCTATCCTGAAGTAAAGTCTCAAGACAAATCAGAAATACCGTAGTAATTTTCTTTTTTTTTTACAATTGTCTGCATGTCCACTGATTATCATCCTACAAAAATTATGATCAATCACACGAGTCACTAAACGTTAAAAAAAGTTGTATGAAAGCTTGGAGCGTCCTTACCATGCTACGTATTTTGCAATTTAAACAACTCGAGGAATTCATCAATGTATGCGCTGGGGATTAGAATAATTAAGTATCATAAATAAAAAATTGCAGCAGTAAGTTTTATTTTGTCAATTCGAACCTTGTACTTTGCCGCCGTTCTCTCGTTAGTCTATTTTATTTTTTAACCGCATAATTGAATATTTTTTCGAGCCGAAGTTAAAATGGAAAGTCGGAGAATCGTATTATGGATTACACTTCAAAGAATTTTCATAAATCTCATATTCTTA